GTCCCTGCTGTCCTCATGGGGTCCCTGCTGTCCCCATGGGTGTCTCGCTGTCCCTGCTGTCCTCATGGGGTCCCTGCTGTCCCCATGGGTGTCTCACAGGGTCTCTGCTGTCCTCACAAGTTCCTGCTGTCCCCACGGGTGCCTCACAGGGTCCCTGCTGTCCTCACAAGTGTCTCACGGGGTCTCTGCTGTCCCCACAGGTGTCTCACAGAGTCCCTGCTGTCCTCACAGGGTCCCTGCTGTCCCTGTGGGGTCCCTGCTATCCCCACAGGTGTCTCACTGTCCCTGCTGTCCCCACGGGGTCCCTGCTGTCCCCACGGGTGCCTCGCAGGGTCCCTGCTGTCCTCACAGGGTCCCTGCTGTCCCCACAAGTTCCTGCTGTCCCCATGGGTGCCTCACAGGGTCCCTGCTGTCCCCACAGCTGCCTCACAGTCTCTGCTGTCCCCACGGGGTCCCTGCTGTCCCCATGGGTGCCTCACAGTGTCCCCATGGTGTCCCCGCTGTCCCCGCAGGTCCCTGACTGTCCCTGCAGTGTCCCCGCTGTCCCCGTGGGTGCCTGACTGTCCCTGCTGTCCCCATGGTGTCCCCGCAGTGTCCCCACGGGTCCCTGACGGTCCCCGCTGTCCCCGCGGTGTCCCCGCTGTCCCCGCGGTGTCCCCGCTGTCCCCGCGGGTCCCTGACGGTCCCCGCTGTCCCCGCAGATGCCGCACTCCCGGAGGTACCGCTCGTCGGAGCGCAGCAGCCGCGGCAGTTACCACGAGCGCTACCGGAGCCGCAAGCACAAGCGGCGGCGGACGCGCTCCCGCTCCAGCAGCAGCGAGCGGGACCGGCGGCACCGGCGGGAGGACAGCTACCACGTCCGATCCCGGAGGTGAGCGACAGGGGCAGGGGGACACGTCCGGGTGGCTTTGGGATGTCTCCAGAGAGGGAGACCCCATGCTTGGCCTGGCTGCCTGTTCTGGTGCTCTGTCCCCCTCCACGAGAAGAATTTCCTTGTGTTGAGGTAGTGCTGGTGTGTTTTAATTTATGGTTTTGCTCCCCATCCTGTTGCTGGGCACCACTGAAAGGTGTCTGGCACCATCCTGGCACCTGCCTTGGGGATATTGATGTGGGATGTCTCCAGAGAGGGAGACCCCATGCTCACCCTGGGCAGCTGCTCCAGTGCTCTGCCACCCTCCATGAGAAGACTTTCCTTGTGTTGAGGTAGTGCTGGTGTGTTTTAGTTTATGGTTTTGCTCCTTGTCCTGTCACTGGGCACCACTGAAAGGTGTCTGGCACCATCCTGGCACCTGCCTTGGAGATACTGATGTGGGATGTCTCCAGAGAAGGAGGTGCCAGGCTCACCCTGGGCTGCTGTTCCAGTGTTCTGCCACCCTCCATGAGAAGAATTTCCTTGTGTTGAGGTAGTGTTGGTGTGTTTTAGTTTATGGTTTTGCTCCCCGTTCTGTCACTGGACACCACAGAAAGGTGTTTGGCACCATCCTGGCACCTGCCTTGGGGATACTGATGTGGAATGTCTCCAGAGAAGGAGACCCCAGGCTCACCCTGGGCAGCTGCTCCGGTGCTCTGCCACCCTCCACGGGAAGAATTTCCTTGTGTTGAGGTGTGTTTTAATTTATGGTTTTGCTCCCCATCCTGTCGCTGGGCACCACTGAAAAGTGTCTGGCACCATCCTGGCACCTGCTTTGGGGATACTGATGTACAATAATGAGATTTCCTCTCAGTCTTCTCCAGACTAACGAGGCCCATCTCCCACAGTCTCTGCTCATTAAGAGGGATGCTCCAGTCCCTTAATCATGGCCTAGTCATCCATACTCACTCAGCTTCCATGTGACCTGGGCCTGCTCTGAGCTGTCACAGCCTGGGCAGTGCTTGTCACCAAAGCCCCTCACTCCCTTCTCAGGGAAACTTCCCTGTCCTTCCACCCAGGAGCCCCTCTGGCAGTGCCACTCCACCACCTGAGCTGGGACTGAGCCCACAGAGGTGGCTTCAG